GCGTGAGCAAAACGGGACCGCGGCGCGTTCCGCCAGGAGCGGGGCGTGGCGGGGTGGACGGGACGAGGTGGGGTGGGTGTGGGGCGGAACGTGGCGGGGTATTGCTTGGCGGGAGAAGGGTCCCATTTCCGATACAGATTTTTTGTTTATTGTTTGGTTCAATTTACTTGAAAAGTTTACCTTCTTTCCCGTGGACAAGATTGTCATCTCACTAACATTGCAAATAAAATGTAAACATTCCTTGGCACACGTCAGGCGGGAGTTGATGACCCCCCGCTGTGTGTTTTCCTTGAAAATTCACACGTTTATCCCCGCAAGTGTGCGAATGGATATTCACATAGGTGAGCGACACACTTTCGTTTCTACTGTAGAGAATGAACTCGTTTAGACAGCAATGATACTCAAAGCTTTGGTAGTAACACTCAAAAAATTGCTAGTAACGGAAGAGTGCACAATGCAATGACGAGCTAGCTGCCTTTCTCACCAGGACGCGTTGTGGTGACATTCGCGTTTGGAGCTAGCTCGCCAGCACAACCTGCCGACGATTGGAGTCACGGTGACCGCTCGGCCCTCGGTAGAGTTGCTGCATGTGCGAGAGGGTACGTTAGCCGGCAGCTGCGCTCGCCTGGAACCGCTCCAGTCCAGCTCGACCGCGAAGCACGCGGAACATCGCGAAGGGTGGGGAGTGGCCGGGCGTGGCGTGGCGTGGCGTGGCTGGTGCACGAGCCAACCAGCCCGCTGGGCGGCCCGCTGGGCGGGTGGGCGCGTCTGTCCGCCGTCGATATCATATCGCACTGCCTGTCAAATTGGATGGATGTCTCGGATGGCGAGGATGACGGCGAAAGTGTGCCCCGCCCCTCGCCATGCAGTTCCTCAGGCGCTGCCCTATCGTCGAACGGAAACAAAAAGCAGTTGTAAGAAAAAACATCAGGTGGGGGAGGGGGGGGGGCGAGGGGCAGTCCCAATGCCTTTCACCGAAAACAATAATACCCACTACAATTATATTTTTTATGCATCTGCTTGCGGCAGGCAGCTTGCCCCGATTCCAAAATGACCCACTGACATTTGGCCCAAATTAGGTCTACCCTATCGTGAGAACAAGTGCTTTTCTTATGGCTCCTGAACAACCCGCGGTACCACAAAAATGAAATGTGAGCAGACTTCTTAGGGATCGTACCCAAATAACCACATGACATATTTTGGCAGTTTTTTGAACCATTTCAACCTATTGAAGGAACTTGATATAGGACTAGATGAGAGCATAGCGCAAATTATACTTCAGTACTTATTAGCAAGCACAAAGTGAGGCAGATTTTTTTATTACAGAAGGGTCCGTACATACACTATAGAGAAGTTACTTCAGGGAAGGCACAGCCGGTGAGGTAAAACAGGTGTGCCAACGTAAAAACAATTGATAGAACAGCATGACATCAAGAACCAAGGCCAAAATAACTTATTCGAAAAAAAATAATTATTAATATTATTTACATATCCTGTCGAATTAGATAATTCAGGCTTGATTCGTGAAAATATCTAAATGTGCTTGCAGCAAGTAAGCGTTTTTCTCGGTGGGTCGAAAGGGGCGTTGGAACTACAAGGGGGCTAGGTGGAGAAGGGTGTATGGCCTGTGGGTAAAAGGGTTTCAGTTAAAACGTCTTAGATCCTTTTCACGATAAATAGGCAACCCTGAAAGTTTCAGGTACCAAGGTCTTTCGTGTTTTTATCTTATTGCGATTACGGAAGACAGGCAGTCAGAGACGCAAATCGTTTTGATTATCACTACACGGTAAAAACAATGTCCCTTTTTTTCAGGGAGAAGGAAAAACTTAGGTTTTACGAAAACTCCTTAGATTTCGCAGAAGTCTCCTAAAAAAATGTGGGATTTTCCCTCATTTTTTTGCGAAGATTCCTTAACATCTGAGGCGAGATCGAAGGACTCTTCCTCAAACATAAGAGTTTCTCAAAGTTTTCCCCTTTTCCTCAAAATATGCGACATTGTTTTTACCGTGTGTCGCTCAACCAAGTATCACTGGCGCGCTCGTCATTGGGTCAGTGGCGTATCGTCAACTCCGATTGACATTCCTACGCCGGGTTGATATTAACATCAGTATTACACATATTACCATGATATTGATCAATCGGCAATTTACATTTAAATGGCGCCAATATATTATAACGATATA